TTTAAATGCAATTTAAAAGGGACAGCATGGAAACCCAAGTGAAAGTGGGTAATGGGGACAAGAGACAAGTGACTGACGATATTGTTAGGCACATGGTGTTGTGCAGGAGAGGATAAGAAGTGCAGACTTCCTGCTCAGCAATCCTGATACCTTCCATCTAGTGAGGGCTCAAACCTAATGGATGTTAAATTCATGACTCTCCGTCTTGGATAGAAGGTAAGAACATGAAAGCCCTAATTGCAGAGCAAAATATGTTATTTGTGTGTCTGACCAGCTGGACGAGAGATGGAAACCAAACCTCAACATCTTTGATCTGTTTTTGTCATTTGCAAAAAATTTAACAGTACACCTCTATTTTATATGCATTTTTGACCTTCCCTCTCCTAAGCTTACAGATTTATTGTGCAACATGGAAACAGGCCTTTTGGCCTAATTAGTCTGTACCTGTGTTTATACTCCATACAAGTCTCCACCCACTCCTTACTCCCTCCCACACCCTTCTATTCCCCTCTCCCTCATGTGTATATCTAGCTTCCTCTTAAATGCATCTACACTATCTGATTCAACCAACGCTTCATACAGTGAATGACGTATATCTTTGCTCTCGAGGATTTTGACGATTTTAAACTTATTATTAGAGTTCAGTTTATTAGTAGCCTTTTGAATCTTCAATATTAAATCTCCCCTGAACCTTCTATTTTTTGGTGTGAACATTCCTACCTTTCGTAGTCCCTCCTCATAACTTGGGTACCTAATTCCAGCCTCAATCTATCTGCTCTTTGCTGTGCCCGATCCGTGTAACATGGGATATTAGTAAATAATCTTTGCAATTTGACATCAGGGAAACGTCTCAAAGCACTTTGCAGGATTTACTGTACAGTGTAGTGACTGTGCATTTTGTAGGTGACCACTCCAGGTGGAGTTGCACTGATCCCCCTGTACAAGTTCATTGTCACTTCCTATGATCTATGGTCGATACCTTTTGCTATGTACCCCAAGCTCCTGTAGTGTAGCTGGAAAATGAAACCCGGGAGCCAGTGGAGCATTGCAGGAATAGGAGTGATGGGCAGGCACTGTGTAATGTGCGAGAGTATGGTGCTGGAAGGTGGGCAAAGATTGATGGCGTCAGCTGGCATGGGAAGACCAAGGAGGGGCAGTTATTAACAACAACTTGCATTCATACAACACCCTTCACTTGTTGCCTCGGGCCATCCTCCTGACCTGAAAGGCGCTATAGGTAAGTTGCTGTTGTTTTTCACATGGGGTAATGTCTCAGAGCGCTTAACGGTGGCGGAGCTTGATGCTGATCCAGGGACAGAGGGTAAGTGAACATAGGCATGATCAAAGATGAGGGTCTTCAGGTGCAATCTGAAGATGGTCAAGGAATCCAAAAGGCAGAGGCATTGAGGCAGAGAGTACCAGAGTTTTGGGGCATAGTGATTGAAAGCACGATCGCCATTGGTGAAGCGAAAGGGATGAGGGACGTGCAGGAGACTGGAGCCAACTAAACAAAGGCGAAAGGGAGAGGAGTGGGGTGTAAGCAGGAATGCAGAATGCAAGCAAGTGTAGATTGAAATTTATAATGGCCTGTGTAGGATTGCAGTATTTGTAGGCAAACATTTAACCAAAGGACCCTCGAGTGAGAGCAATGAAATGAATTATGTCTGCCATTCGATTACCTGGCTCGGGTACAGGTTCACTATGGATTGATGGTGTAGATATACGAGGTTCAGGCGTTTCTGGAGAGATCAACCCAAGAACAAAACACAAAAGAATTTTATTTTCAAAGAAATATATTCCATTCTACATTCTTTGGTTGTTTTTGGTATTTGCTACAAAGTAAATGTCTGGTTCTACATTCGTTTTTTTTCACATTCCCTCGTCTGAGTTTGAGTCCATGTTCCCATCCTTTAGATGTTTTTGACCATGGGAAACATATTATTAGAGTTCAGTTCATCAATATCCTTTAGGATCTTCAATAAGACCTCCCCTGAGCCTTCTATCCTTTAGTGTGAACATTTTTATCTTTCGTAGTCTCTCCTCATAACTCAGATGCCTCCTTCCAGCTATCATTTTAGCTGTCCTTCTCTATGCCCACTGCAAAGCGAAGGATTTATTATTATTATTATATCATTAATAGTTACGGTAACCAGAATTGTATGCAGTACTCCAGGTGGAGTTCGATTAGTGACCTGTACAAGTTCAGCAATACACCACACGATCCTGTAGGGTAGCTGTAACATGAAACCCTACAGACACTGTATATTTACACATCCTATTGGTATATGAAAGAAAAAAAATAGTTCATTAGACAATCCTGATCAATCTATGTGTTTAGACTCAAATGTGCATGCAGCTAGCGCTTCGGTTTCCTTAGTCTTCATAGCGACCCAGTGTAAGGTTTTTGATACCATGATTCCTTTTGGAATCGTCAAGCTAACAACGCAGATGATATCCCGCAGTCCAAGATTCCACCTAGTCTTAGCCTGCTAGGTCATTTAGTACACATTCCTAAAATTCCAGTTGTACTCAGTCCAGGGTGAGACTTATCAGTCATCTCTATAATTCCAGTCTTGTCTCTAAACCTCTATCAAAGCCATTAGGCACTTCTTGGAAGCTATGCCTTCGGTATAACTGCACCCACTGCATCTAACCACTGGAAACGACAGCACCATAAACCTTGATAATCTTTATATTTATATATTAGGGTAAAGGACAGAAAAGATAATTAGATGATCTTGGGTTTTAATGATCTGGGACGAATCTGTGGCTCTAGTCACTAAATAAGTTGCTTCATGATATAGTATTCATAAGCAATGGGATAGTGATAGTTATTTGAATAGATTCTGAGGATCACTTTCAGCTACTTTGTTCCTTGAGAAAGAGCTTGTTTGATCTAATGCATCCCTGCAATAGGAATTTCCTCTCAAAGCTGGATGTTTGAAGGTCTAGAATATTCTTTTTGCAATACAGACTCTTGTCTGTTCTTGCTGGTGTCAACCTTTTGAGTCATTCCTAATTTACTTGTCAAATAAAGCATTACCTGAGGCAGCAGAATAAAACGTATCGTGACTTATGTTTTCCACTTGGCTATCTAATGGCTTGGGTATCATTGTGTTCTTTATTGATGGTGTAGACATATGGTACACAGTTATTACTGGAGAGTTGAACCCAAGAACAGAACACAAAAGAATGTTACTTTTAAGAAACACGTTCAATCTGTTAATGGACAATCCAGCAATTATCTTTTTGAAGTTCATAAGTTCAATTCAAGATCAATGCATAAAATGCATTCTTACAAAACTCGAATATTGCCGCAGGTAACCTCACTCAATAATACTGAAAACGACAAAAACGAAACTGGTTAAGACAGTGATTAAAGTGCTGAGTCAATGCCGTTAGGGGCAATAATGAAAGGAATCATTTATGCTGCAGTTTGTGCTGATTTAATGAGATTGTTGCATCTCACCAATGCAAACTGCAGCTCAAATAAACATTCAGCAGCCATGAGAGAAGCATTGTGAAATCATCTCTGGAGGAAGTCTCACGTTTCTCTTGCTTCATATAAACCGAAGTGTAACTCACATACTCAAGCTATATACAGCGCTCTGGCCAGGTCACACCTAGAGTACTGCATACAGTTTTGGTCATCGCAACATAAGGTCAGCGTTAGAGGAATGAACTATGAACAATAATTAGACAAACTAGAGCTCTTCAGTCTAGAGAAAAGATGTCTCAGAGGGGACCTTATCGAGGTATATGAATTATAAATGGGATTGATAAAGTAAATCCAGAACAATACTTTAGGAATGCAGCAAGACAACAAAACAAGAGGACACAGGTTTAGAGATGCGAAGAGCAATTTCAGGACAGACACCAGGACGTTTGTTTATCCAGTAGGTAATTATTATTATCCTTGTGTTTGAAATAGTGCCTTAACACGTCGTTGGGACGTCTTAAAGTGCTTCACAGGATACACTGTAAAATGGATTGACTATATTTCTTGGACGAACACAGCAGCCAGTTACACACAGCAATGTCCTACAAACAGCCATGGAATGAACGACCAATTTTATTCAGGGGATTTATTGGCCAGGACACTGGGAGAAACTCACTTCTGTTTTTGAATAGGTCCATGGGATCTTTAATGTCCAGCTGAACAGGCAGACGGGATCTAGGTTTAATGTCTCATCCGAGGCACTGCAGCTCCGACGATGCAACACCCCCCAGCACTGCATTAGGGTGTAATTTTAGACATTGTGAGTTCAACTCCCAATGTGAGATTAATGTGGGATTAATTAATTAACAACTGGAACAGATTGCCAAGAAGGGTTGGTTGAGGCCACTCACTGGACTCATTTAAAAGGCAGATTAATCCTGTGATGGGAGGACACAAGGGTAGGTATTCTGGAAGGATGAGATCAGATGTGCTGAAGGGCCTTCATCCAATCTAATCGTCTGAGGTTTAATTACCTCAGGTGGGGAAACTGACACTTTCAAAAACTTAAAACGTTTAAATGTTTCTAGGTAATCCCACAATTTAAGGTTCTCAATGCAATTATAGAGACAAAGCAGTGACGTACTGGATGAGTCTGATGCAGACATTCTAATGCAGTTCTGGGGCCTAATGTGTCACAAGTCTGTCAGCCCACAAAGCTCTACCACTAGACAACCATTCCTTCAAAGCAATGCCTGTATCACAAAACCACGTAGACTTGTATACATATATAGATCTGATCAGGACTGAAAGATCAGAAAATTGTGTCACACAAAAAAAAAAATTTTGTCGGGTTTATTAACCCTGATTTCAATTTTAGAAAAATTAAACAAATAGAAATATAGATCATTAAATTTTTGTAAAAAAGAAATGAAACTGTTGGACCAACCAGAAGGACCATAATTCAGTCTGCAACACCCGGTCTTGCTCTGATCGACAAGTTGGTATCAATCTTTGATTCATATTCCTAACTTAATTCTATCAAACAAGAGATTACCTTGCTCAGTAGAATAAAATGTGTCACTGTTTGGATCAGGCTCGGATATAATTTCACTTTGAGTTGATAGTGTAGATTTACGACGTTCTTTCACAACTGGATAGTTCAACCCGAGAAAAGAACAAAATAATTGTAGTCTTAAGCAACAAATATCTACATCCATTTTTTATTTTCCTAATTTGAACAAAGTATCTGTTTGCCTCCATGTTATGAGTATTACTAACAATATCTGAAGACTCACTCCTGGTAACTTGGTGCCATAAAAGTCGATTACTCTCTTTGCAAATAAATACTTCCTGGTCACAGTTCATCCCTCCAACATGGGAGAGATTATCTTGCTACGCTGCTTTCATGTAAGTAACTCTTTCATTTTGCTTCTATAGATTGATTCTATTCCTTTTCCAATTACCAACAACAACTTGCATTTATATAGCACCCTTCATGTGGGGCAGTGTCTTGGAATGCTTCATGTATTGCCAATGTGATGCTTAATGTCATACTAATGTGATGACAGAGAAAACTGAAAAGCATGGTGGATTGAACATTATCATAATGGTGATTTAGTGCCATATAAAAGAATGATAATATAACAATGTAGAAATCACTGGTAAACCATAATAGCTTACTTTCTGGAGGCTCAGGTTTTAGACTTTCTCGATGTTCAACTTTCTGCAGAGAAACACATTTTCTACAATCACCATATGAATGAGATTAATAACCTCAGAGAAAGTGATTAATTGTAGCTGAAATGTTATATTTTTTTATAAAACTACATACCCTCAACTTCCTGGAGGTTCATTTCCTATGCCTTTACTGTGGTCAACTCCAAAGCATACTTTAAGTTAGTAGGACCAGACAATAAGATAATAAATAATAATAATCCTTGCATTTCATATAGCGCCTTATTATGCCATTGCAACGTCTCAAATCGCTTTACAGGATATACTGTAAAGTGGATTTTTTAACTGTGTATTTTATACCAATTGACAAAACGTGGCAGCCAATTGCGCATAGTGAGTGACCAATTTTTTCATCTGGGGGAATTTGTTGCCTAGCACAACTGGAGAAATTTCCTTCTCTTTTTGAGTAGTGCCATGGGATCTTTAACATCCACCTAAACAGGCAGACGGGATTCGGTTTAGGGTCTCATCTGAAGGAAGGATGAAATCGGTGAAGTTTTTATAATCTCCACTAGAATCCCACCTCTTGCCAAAATATCACCTCAAACTTTCTAACCGAGGTAGTCACCCACAGTGCCTTCCAGCTGACATCATCCATTTGACCTTCTCCTTGGACTTTATAAACTCCATGGAGCCCAAACTGTTCCTCTATATCCACCTGGCACATGGCATCTGACTGTCATTGCACATTTTCTAAGATTAGGGCACTAATCTGTGTCTGTCACAAACTCAGAGTCCTGTAGCTCAGTGGTTAAAGCACTCGCCTTGTAAGCGAGAGACCTGGGTTTGATTCCCGGCAGGGTGAAATCAAGTAAGCAAGTTTACTTACTCCACTCACACGCCTGATAATATTCCCTCAAGAAAAAGAAAAAAACAATAATAATCGATCACTTTAATCCATGACTGTTTGTGGGGACGCTGCTGTGCGTAATTGGCTGCTGTGTTTCACCCACAAATATACAGTCAATTCACTTTACAGTATATTCTGTGAAGCACTTTGAGACGTCGAGAAGACGTGAAAAGCGCAATATCAAATGCAAGGATTAGTATTATTATAACACTTCCTGACAGCAGGTTTACTGACTTTAACTGCGCTCGTTATCTACAGCTGTCTTAATCCAAGCACCCTACTACGGCTGAGTGAACACATTTACAAGTCAGTTTTTTTTTGTTTCAATGCCCTTATCTCCATCTCCTTCCTGCTGCACTCTGCATGTCCATACTACACTCTTCATTGCTAAGCCTTGTCTGTTACTCTGTATAGTTCCAATCATCTCGTGGAGCCTTGTTTCAGCAACAGCATTTTATAAGGCTTTATTTAATATTATAACACTTATAAATCTAGTTTTGATGTCAATAATGTACTAATCCTTAGATTTGATAAAGCATCTTTCATGTTGGGAGGAAGTTTTAAAGTGCTTGACAGGATATACTGTAAAGTGGAGTGACTATGAACCTTGTGGGCAAATGCGGCATCCAACAAACAAATACAAACAGAGAGTTGAATAGCTGTGCACGTGCGGTGTCAAGTTTACTAAACGTTCTATGGAACGGTAGCAAACAATGTTTCTTTTTAAAACGTTTGCGCTGGTGCAGTCATTTGTAGGTATAAATGGTGGCAAATGCAGTTTCTAATTGCATAGCAAATTATAAAATAGACATCTTCACCTTCTAATCTTTGGAAAGGGGTTAATATGTGGCAGACTACTCGGTTTCAGAAAACTGGTTTTAAGAATTCAACATCAATGCAATTACAAGCTATCAGGAGTAAATATTTGATATTCTTTTCCAATAATAATTACCAGGTGCTGGGAGGTTAGTTCGGTCAGTATTGTTGCTAATTTTGAACAAAATGCTTCTCTTTTCATTATTTCGCAGACAATACGATTGTGTTTTCTATAAAATTGAGAAATAGAGAATAAAGATGAAAATTATTATAAATAATAATAAACTTACATTGGATATAGTGCCTTTCATATCAGGAGAAAGTCTCAAAGCGCTTCTCAGATACTGTAAACTGTCAATTTTAGTGACTATTTTGTGGGCCACCACAATTTACGCACAGCAATGTACCACAAACAGCCGTAACCAGTGACCAGTTTTATTTAGAAGATTGTCGTCTAGGACATTTTGAGAAACTCTCTTATCTTTTTGAATAGTGGCACGGGATGTTTAACCTTCACCTGAACAGGCAATAGGCCTTTGGTTTAAAGTCTCATCCAAGGACGGTACATCTAAAAACGCAATGCCCCCCAACAGTCCACTGGAGTGTCAGCCCAGACGATGAGTTCAAAATTCTGATGTAGGACTTAAGCCCACAACCTTTTGACGCAGAGGCAAGAGTGCTACCAACTAAGTAAGCCAGGCTGATGCAGTGATTTATTTTTGGCATGCATTTTAATTGCCAATGATTTCCTTGTACAGTGACATATGAAAAGAAACAACCTACCTTTCTCTTAGTTGAAGACATAAGAGTGCAAAGCACAAAGCAATCAAGAGAATCACTATAATAACAGCTCCCAAAAATGAAATAGAGGAAATACGGTCTGCAGAGAAAACATAAGATAACAAGGCATTAGAAAAGGTCGCTTGGCCAATAAAGACTGCTTCATCCACACAAGTCCTTAAATGTGCTCTATAAAGATTCCTACCTCTCTTGTTCAATGACAGTTAACATCCATCTGCCATTGCTCAGCCCATTTGAATTAATCAGTCTATTTAAATAGAATAAGTAGCTAACACCTGACTGACTACCTACAGCTGCAAATGTTGTAATATTTTTATGACATCTGTCTTTGAGAACAAATGTCCAACAGAACTCAGAACAGACCCAATTGGTCACTGTCTATTTACTATTTTCTATTTACCATTGCTTTAAATTTCCTACTACTTAGTAGGGGGTAGGGGTATTGGGATGAGGGAGGATGGAGGGCAGTGAGAGTAGGAGGGTGGCTAAAGGCATGGTCGAAGAGGAAGGTCTTGAGGCATGCTTTGAAGGAGGCAAGGGAAGCAGTGAGGCGAAGGAAATGTGGGATGGAGTTCCAGGAGAGAGCCTGAAGGCCCAAACACCAATGGTGGGGTGGGCCGGGCCGGGAACCTGGAGCCTTCTGAGAGGAGGGAGTGGACAGGTTGATAAGGGCTTAAAAGGTTGGAGAGGTAGGAGGTGGCAAGGCCGTAGAGGGCCTTGGAAGTGAGGACAAAAATTTTGAACTCAATCCTCTTGAGGGATAGGGAACCAGTGGAGCTTGGCGAGGGTGCGTGTGATGGGGTCATGGAGCCTGGTGCGGTAGAGGACATGAGCTACAGAGTTCTGGATGCTCTGCAGCTTGTGGAGGGAAGAGTTGGGAAGGCCAACAAGCAGGGCGTTGGCATGGTTAAGGCTGAATGTAATGAAGGCATGTATGAGGGTTCAGTGGCCTGAGGGGTGAAGCAGTGGCGGAGTCGGATAATGTTGCTGAGGTGGGGGAAGGGCATGGATGTGGGGGAGAAAGGACAGTTGAAGGTCGAACAAGATGCCTAGATTCCTGACTGGCTTGGTGAAGTGTGCATCTGTGGGTGCTGATGCTGCCAGTGCTTGAGGTACAGAGGCGCTGTGCAAGCCAACCTGAAGAGCCTCGGTCTTTCTGATGTTCAACTGTAGAAAGTTGGCTCTCATTCCAGACTTGATGTCTGACAGGCAGTCTGTCAGGACCTTAGTGGTCCTGAGGGTGGAGGAGAGAGAGACAGAGTTGGGTGTCATCCGCGTACATATGGAAGTTGACCCCATGTCTGCGGATGATGTCATCAAGAGGGTGTATGTACAGGTTGAAGAGGGGACTGAGGACAGAGACCTGAGGAACACCGCACGAGACGATCCGGGGCTGGTGGAGAAGCCGTTTTTGGAGACAAAGTAGAGCCGATGTGAGACAGGATCTAAACCATTCAAGGACAGGAGGCGGTGGAGAAGGATAGTTTTCCACAGTGTCAAAAGCAGCAGAGAAGTCAAGGAGGATGAGGAGACAGAGGGTCACAGATGGAAAGAATGTCATTTGTCACATTGACCAGGGCTGTTTCCGTACTGCAGCACGGAAACCCGATTTGAGGGGTTTGTAAAGGGAGTGTCAAGAGAAGGAGTGAAGCTGGGAAGCAACAACTCTTTCAAGGACCTTGGAAATGAAAGGGAGTTTGGAGATGGGGTGGTAGTTAGTGAGCAGGGATGGGTGCAGGGAGGTTTTTTTTAGGACAGAAGTGATGCCAGCTATTTTTAGGGGGGTAGGAATGGTACCAGTTGACAGGGAGAGTTTGACAAGGTCTGAAAGTGAAGGGGCAAGGAGGTGGAGCTGGGTGGTAAAGAGAGGGGTAGGGACGGGGTCGAGGGAGCAGGTGATGGGCTTCATGTGGTTATATGAAACTAACTGGCTTATTTCCAGGTTCACTTCTTTTAAATGTCAGTGTCTCATACCCCTCATCTGGCCCATAGTTACTGCAGCTTTATTTAGAGGTTCTAAAGACATTATCTGCCTATGAAATCTACAATCATTAAATTTGAAGAGTCCTATGAAGAGCTTTGAGACGTCTTCCCAATTTGAAAGGTGCAGCTTCAAATGCACAGATTATTATCCTCCTCCTCAGGCTTGACTTTCCTCATTTATTTCCTGAACAAATTATGCTGTTAGATTTACCATCAGCTTGCGGGAAATCCGCTCCAGAAATAGATGACGTCGGAATATTCCCGCGGATCAACATGACGTAATTCCAGTTTTTAGAAGGAGTCCCTATTTGCACAACTCAGATTTCTTATTAAGGAATCCTGTTGATCAATTCTGCAATATAAACCCCATTGTGTTAAATTACTCTATTGTAATACCTAATTTCACGTTTAAAACCATAAGGCTCCAAAAAACACAGAAAACTTTCAAACTCCCAGTCTAAGCTGTATTTAGATATCTGCTGAAGATGATTCTGCAAAGCATGTTTGATAAGTTACTTATTGGAAAAGTCTTCAATTCATTCTACTTGTAACCATCTTTAATTTTAAACAAGTAACTTTTAGAAAATGGATGCCTCTAGCAATTCTCAACAAAGTAATCTCTATGCACAATGACATCCACATAATGCAACAGATTCTAATGTTTAGAAGTCACTAAATCCTTAAATACTTACCGATAGGGCGATGTTCACAGAATTCCCCGTAATATCCAGAAGGACAAATGCAAAAGAATCCAAGACTGCTAAGTGGATTTAAAGTACATGTACCATAGTTCAAACAAGGTCCGAAGTCACAATCAAGTCTGTCCTTAAGTGCTAAAATAAAGTAGAAATAGGTGTTAGTGACACTTTACAAGAGAGATTTCTCTGCATCAAGCACAAATACAACAGTTATACCGGTAGTATCCTCAATTGTGTATTGCTTTGAGAATTTTGGGGGAAAAACGTACCACTTTTTTCAACTTTGATCGATTTTTCAAACAAAATTAAATTCACATTATTGTTTGTGGATAGCATTTAGACCTTTTTTTTAAAATCAAAAACTTTGGAGTCAGGAGGCAGAATACAATGGTAGTCCTACACATTGGTTTCTATGATTGTGGCACTTTTCTCACATATTGGATGTCTTACACTTGGCTAAAATATAGGGTAATGTGTATATATTGATTGCCTTTCAGAGAGCTTGGTATTTATTACTAATAGGTTGGGTTTCTTCAACACTGTTACATGGCACATGTGAAATATGACTTAAATATTTTGATTATGTTATAATACACTATTCTGAATGTACACGAGATATGGTTGCACATAATAATACTTCCATTTGACATGGCACCTATAATGTCAAGAACATGTATTTTTAGGCAAATGTGGAAGCTATATTATACATAGCAAAGTCCCACAAACAGTCATGAAGTGAATGAATAATAATTTTAATATTTCCTAGAACTGCGTGCTTTTTAATGTATATATATATCACATTTCCTCCCGATGTGAAAGGCGCTCTACAAATATAATTTAGTATTGTATTTCCAAACAGATGTTCGATGATGTTGAGGTGAACCTCTAATCAGGTGGTGTGGACAAAGGCTTCTCTCCAGGTGTCATTATTATCATTCCATCAATACAGTTGTTGCACTATAGATGCAACTCAAGTGGGCTACATAGTTTTGTGCCAATTTTTGCCTCCCCAAGACAGAACTTCATACCATCACTCCATCTAGTGGCTCACCTAAGATATTAAATAAATTTGACTAATTTAGACAGACTGACAGCCCTAGGATCTAAATTCATGGCATCCAATTTATTAATCAATTTCTGAGACCAGTCATGGTATCCTGGCCAAATAATGCCCAATTTTTTATAAAAATGTATCATTCAACACCTGACTATTTGTGCAACATTGCTGCAGTAGAAATTCACTGCTCACTTCACCTGTAAATATGATGACTATATAGTAAATCCTGTGAAGCACTTCACAACATAATTCAATGCTTTATTACAACAACAACTTGCACTTATATAGCGCCCCTCATGCACAGTAGCACCAGAGTACTTGTCAGAGGCGGAGCACAACACCACGCCTGGGGGAGGGGGAGTTAACTGTAGGCACGGTCGAATAAGAAGGTCTCCAGGTGCGACCTGAAGATGGCAAAGGAAAGGGCACGGCGGAGGGATAGAGGAAGAGTGTTCCAGAGTTTAGGAGTGTAATGGCTGAAAGCGCAGCCGCCGATGGTGGAATGGAGGGCACGAGGGACAAACAGTAGGCTGGATCCAGCTGAGCGGAGGCAGCTGGTGGTGGAGTGAGGGGAAGCAGGTTGGATAAGTAGGGAGGTGTGAAAGCATGAAGGGACTTGAAAACTAATGAGGATTTTGAAATCGATCAATTCGGTGATT